GAAATGAACAGTTTTAAATGATACTAAAAACTTACGTGGTAAATAATAGCAAAGCATAATCCGGCCATTATCCCAGAAACGATACCAATCGTGGGCCAAAATAAGCGAATTTTCATCTTGCGTGTCAAAGTCATCGTAGTTCAATCCTAAAATTTTGTACAGGAAAATAAGCGATAAGAGCAGAATGAAGCAATCGGACAGTATGGAACAAATGATAAGTGATAATTCTGCTCAAAAAACAGGGGCATGTAATGACAACAGAAATTACTTTCAGGCGTTTGGTGTGATACAAAAATGAACGAGGAAGGATTGATTGCAAACAATCTTTATATTATAGCGTTTTTTTCTTTCCATTACAAAAATTAAGTAAACAAAGCAGTATGATAAGTGTTTGCGGAGTGTTAATTTCGTACAATTATAATAAGTTTGCAGTTTTGCCTAAAGAAAGAAAAAGAAAAAGAAAGCAATAGAGAGGTCATAAAATCAAGGCTGTTAAGAAGGTCAAATGGAGGAATGGTACATGACATTAAGCTTCCTGCAGGCATTAATTTGTCTCAAAAACTTGTGCAGTGAAATGTGCGCATTATGGTAAGCGGATTAACGTTAAAATTTGGCGAAGTAAAAAACTGAATAAATTTTAGAAAAAATCTTATCCCTTTACAACAAATAAAGCTTTGCCTTTTGAGTTCAGACTTCTCGTATTCTGTAAACTTTTCCAATTCCTGATGACTATTAATTTTTCCTTCAATCCAATCTGATGTCAAAATCTGCATAGTTTTTTATGCGCAAAACTTGTTAGCAGCTTGAACTGGAAAAAAATTTTAGATAAACAAAAAAAACAGAAAAAAACTTCTTTTCTGAATTATGAAAATTCATTCATAACTTTTATAAAACTACAAACAGGAAATAAGTTTATTCTTTAAATTATGATTAGGATGAATGAAAGTTTGAAACAATAATCTAACAGCTATACTTAAAGTCATTATCAGTGAAATGTATTGGTGATAAAATCATCTGAAACAAAGATCAACACTACTGGCGGATAAAAAAAAAGGTGAAAATGTTACAAAATCGAAAACCGAACTCTCTTATAATCGTAATAATGAAGGAACTATTGCAATTCTCGGATATTCACAAGTATTCGTAATAATACAAATTCAACAATCTTTCTTTTCTTCTTTTCCATACACACAAAAAAGAAGCTTTGGAAAGCTAAGTAAGCAAGTAATTCCTTCTAATTATTATCATATATCTTACCTGATTGGGGAAAAAAAGGAATTGTGAAAATGAAACGCTTCCGGTTCCTGTGTAATTGTTCACTCGATGGAGACCGCAAGATCGGATCCGTTCTTTCGGATAATAGAAATCGCAGGATCCGTTCTTTTCCGATGAATACATACTTCATTCTCCTTCACTCTCAATGGACAACGAATGCATTTACACGTTTTTTGACATATTTCTGTGTGCTTCCTCACGATGCTACATCACTTTCTTGCAATTATGCTATCACCTTGTCTGCTTGCTTCTTACAATTGCCCGGTTGATCCCCGCGGTACCATCTCTGCACCTCGCACATTTTCACCCTCAACTATATGTCCACACCATCAAACCTACTGAACAACCTATCATCGTGACGTAACAGCAATTGGCCAGTGACGAGGTATTGCTATTCGAGATGCGCGTGGTAATTGGTGACGAAGACATACGGGAAATGATTAACTTTGATGGGTTAACATTCATGAAAGCTAACCTTTTTATCTACATGTATAGGTGATCAGGACAAATAATACAACGATCGTAAT